CGGTGGAAACAGAGCAAAGATAAAACCTCCGAGGCCGTGGTGAGGGTCAAACGAGACATACGCAGATGCTCTTAGCACAGGGCGTGGTACTCACCGTGTGTTCAGTGATTGCTGCTGCTGTTATGACTGTTTTCGTCACTTTTACCATTTTATCCAGCCTCTCCAGAGGACAGTTGTGTCCATGTCCCCTAAACAGTCTGGCTAATGCTCGGGGCACGCCCGGCTTGGCTCTCCTGGCTTTTGGCTATTTGGCAAAATGCCCTCCAGGTGATTTTGCATTTGCTGCAAGGCAATTACGTTTGTTGCCAAGCCTTTTTTATGCCAGCTGTTCCTGATATTATGAATGCATGATTTAATTAAATATTGTACTATCTAGCAGTTTTCAAACTGTTTAGTTTTAAGACTCCTTTACACTCTTAAGAATTACCGAAGATCCCAATTAGCTTTTGTTCATGTGGTTTACATATATTGTTATTTACCCTATTAGAAACTAAGATGGGAGATTGTCAAAGCACAGGAATGCACCAGCACACATTCCGTGAGCTGTCAGAGAGGGCCAGGGCCTCTGGAAATCTTCACTTGTGCGTTCTTGAGAAAATGAGAGTGCCAGTGCGAATGACATCTTCGTATGATCATGAAAATAGTTTGGGGCCAGGCGCAGTGGCTCACGCCTGTAATCCTAGCACTCTGAGAGGCCGAGGCAGGAGAATCGCTTGAGGACAGGAGTTCAAGACCAGCCTGAACAAGAGTGAGACCCCATCTCTACCAAAAAGAGAAAAATTAGCCGGGAATGGTGGCGCATGCCTGTAGTCCCAGCTACTTGGGAGGCTGAGGCAAGGGTCTTGAGCCCAGGAGTTTGAGGTGGCAGTGAACTAGGCTGATGCCCACTGCACTCCAGCTTGGGTGACAGAGTGAGACTCTGTCTAAAAAAAACAAAAAAATAGTTTGGACTTTGGATTCCCTGAAAGGGTCATAAGAGTCCCCTGGGACCCCTGGACCCTGAGAACCACTCAGGGCTGCCACTGAGGCAGACTGATGAAACACGAGCACAAAAAGAGAGCTGCTCTCTGAAAACCAGCTTGAGAGCTTTGGAAAGTCCCAGCATGGATGGGGGAAATAATTTGGGGAAAATAAACACACAAATAATGAAGGACTCTCCCTCCAGAGCGCTTTGCCCGTGCCTTCTGGTCCTCATGCGCCTCTAGGGAAGCCAAAATCTGAAATCGGTCCGTGCTGAGTCACTACGATGTGGTTCTGCGACAAAGATGAACCAGAACTCCAGTCTGTGGACTCGTGGTGCTCAGAGAGGCTTTGGCCTTGTGTCAAAAGACAGACAACAAATGTATTGTACTTTAAATACTTCAGGAATGTCTGTGTGGTTAGGTAGGATTTCTCCACCTATCCAACTTGCCCAACCAACTCTTAAAATCACAGACGTTGCCAGAACATGGACCCAACTCGGCTCTGCCCCAACTATGGTAAACGTTCCCCCTCCACCCCCAGGCTGGACACCACTCCAAGCCTCGGCCTTGCGTTTGACCATTTTGCCCTTGACCTTGCAGGTGACCTCCCCCATTGCCTGAGGCATCCTTCAGTTATTCACGAGCATGGACTCGAATGAGATTTGCTGGGCCCCAACACTAGTTCCAGCACTTTGAAACTTGGAGGAGTCACCTTAGCTCTCTGAGCCCCAGACTCCTCCTCTATAAAATGGGAAATGACATACATGCGTCCGCAGATGCTTGCTCTCTATGGAAGTCAGCTGCTCTTGTGGTTGTGGTGGTGCCATCACTATTGATGCCACTGTCACTGGTGCAGTGCCTCTGAAATGCCCCTCACTTGCCCGTCCCACTCCTAGCCCCTGTGACCACTCACCTGGACTGTAACAGCCCCCAGCCTGGGCCTCCCCACTTCCAGGCTCTTACGTCCTGCCCCAAATGACTGACCTAAAGCCCTGCTCTGACCCAGTAATCCCACTGCTCAGACAATGCCAGTGTGGGAAGCTCACACACCACTAGTTCACCCAGACCCTCTCTGACCTACTGCCCACTTACCTGGGTGGCTTCACCTCCTTCCGCTACAATAATCACGTCCTATGAGCCCAGTACTGCTGAGGTGCCCCTTGCCCTGCCCCCCAGGGTCCAGATGCTGTGCTAAGGGTTTTACATGCGCCATCCCTGAATATCTTCATAAGGGCCCCAGGAACCTGAGCGCAACCCCATTTTGCAGATTAGAAATCAGAGGCTCAGTAGCATTGAGTCCCCTGCCCAAGGTCACACAGAGGACGGTGGTACAGCGGGATTGTGGCTGGGGTCTCCCTGCCTGCAAAGCCCAGGGTGTTTGTGCGTTATCCCCTCCTTTCTGGAGACGTTGAGACCTTCCCTGCTCTTGTGGCTCCCCCTCTCCCAGGATGCCTGCCTACCCTTCTAGACCCTGCCGGTCTTCGGGACTCAGCTCCAATGCCACCTCTTTCCTGCAGCCGTCTGGGTGGCAGCCCCATGTACCCTGCAGACCTCTGCTGGTGGTTCTGATGTTTGCACAGGGCCTGAGTTCTCCTAGGGTCTCCCTGTCACTTCCCCGGGAAATCGAGCCTGACCCCTAAAGTGGGGTCACCCCTCCCTGGTTCACACACTCAGAGCATCACCACGTGTCCATTCCCGCCATCTAAGTGTGTTGAGTGACCACTCTGTGCAGTCACTGATCTGGGCTCTGAGGCTGCAGCCGTGAGCAGAGTCCCCACCTCCTGGCCCTGATGTCCCGGTGGGCAGAGGCATGATGAGGCAGTAGCAAACACAGAAATGACACATTCTCAGGTGACACTTATGGCCAAGTGCGCTCAATGAAATCAAGTAGGAGAGGCTGGAGCACGCAGGAGTCGTGCTATTTGGGGTAAGTGGCCAGGGAAGGAGGTGTGACAAGGTGAAGGCACTGGCGTGGCAAAGGTCTGGGAAGGGTATGCCACCTTACTTAACCTTGCCCTGTCCCACCTACTCCAGGAACAAGGCCCTTCCTGGGCAGGGAGATGCCCCATCCCAGAATAGATACATCCAGAAGCTCAGCTGGGCAGCCAACTGCCCACATGGACCTGCTGGGCCCCATATGGTAGGGCTGCAGGGGACCGGCCAGGGGGTACCACGCCACCCCTTGCTTGGGATGCAGCTCACTGGCCACCCTGCTGTGGCTGGCTGAATAACGGCCTCCAAAGATGTCCATGTTGTAATCCCCAGAACCTGTATGTTCCCTTCCCTGCCAAAAGCGACTGCAGATGTGATCTTGATATGGGAGATGACCTTGGATTATCTGGTGGGCCCAGTGTCACCACAAGGGCCCTTGCAAGAGGCAGGAGGGTGACAGTCAGGGAAGGCCCTGTGACCTTAACAGCAGAGGCTGACAGAGACGGACTTGAAGATGCCACACGTGGAAGATGGAGAGAACCACAAGCCACGAAAGCAGACGGCCTCTGGGAGCTGGGGAAGCAAGGTGAGGACCATCCTCCCCTGGAGCTTCCAGAAGGAACCAGCCCTGCTCACAGCCTGGCTTCAGCCCAGGGAGACTGATGGCAGCCTCCTGACCTCCAGAGCTGTGAGGTCATGAACTTGTGCTGCTTTAAGCCATGAAGTCTGGGGAAATTTGTGACAGCAGCTGCCAGAAACTCAGAGCTCATAGGCCCCGCGGCGGCTCCTGCTGCCTTGGCGTCTACCCACAGGACCTGCTCCCCCCTGGGGCTCCGCCGGGAGCCCTGCCAGGTGACATTCTGGGAAAACCCCATTCATCAAAGCCACATCTTCCCGACAGTCTCCAGGAGCGCTGCCTAGCCGCAGGCAGAGGGGCCGCCCGGAGGCGGAGATTCCTGGGGCGACAGGAAAACACCTGCCCCGTGCAACACCTCTTGCCTGGAATTTCTCCCCCAGAGCATGGCCTTTGCTGTTTCCTGTAGGGTCATTCCGTGGGGAGGTACACGTGCCTTCAGAATCCCTCCTGAGGGTGCTCCCCAGTGGGGAGCGGGTGGCACACGTCCGGGGTTTCAGGAGGGCTCCGGGGAGTGGGGGTGTGCCCACCGCCTACCCCACAGACGTGCAGGCTCGCTCCCCACAGGGCAAAGCTGTTCCTGGCCCCGTCATGAGAAGGGGTCTCCCCACTTCCAGGCCTGGACGCCACCAGCCCCACCTCCAACACAGTCCTGTGGGAGGCAGTGCTGGGGAGAGTCTCCCCTGGGGGGTCTTCCCAGAACCAGGGGACCAAGCCAGGTCCACACCGTGCCCAGGATGGCCAGACTTCCAGAGCCCCAAGCCTGAGACAACCCCTCTGTACCAGCTGAACTGTGTCCCCCCCAAATTCACGTGTTGAAATCCCAACCCTCCCACCCCCCGTACCTCAGCCCGTGACTGTCTGGGGAGGGGCCTTTGCAGAGGTGAAGGTAAAACGAGGCCATCAGGGTGCTGGAGGGGAAGAGGCACCGGGCCATGCGTGTGCACAGGGGAGTGGGCGCATGGGGACACAGGGAGAGGACAGCCATCAGCTGGGAGAGGACAGAGGCCCCTGCAGAAAACAACCCTACCGACACCTTCGTCTCGGCCCTCCAGCCCCCAGACCTGAGGAAACAAATCTCCGTTGCGGGGCCACCTAGTCTGCAGCGTCCCGTCATGGTGCCCCAGCCTCAGGCTTGCCTAGCCTGAGTGCCAGCCAGGGGACAGAGTGCCCAGTGATAATGACATGCACCCAGACATGACAGGGGCCAGGCCTGCGGTCCCAGCTGTCATATCCAAAGGTCTGAAGACAGCGCGAGGCCTGACTACACCCCAGCCCCACCCCGACTCACACCCAGTGGGACTCGCACAGGGGGTCCCCGGTAATGTGAGTCCCTCTCTGTTCTTGACTTTTACGTGCACGATCACAGCACACCTGTCACGGGCCACCATGTTATTAAGTCCCCTTGGACAGAGTGCACGACCCGTGCAGGGAGGACACTGGACTTTTGCGACTCATTCATGCACACGTTCTGCAGGTACCAGCCACGTGGGTCTGTCTTTAATTATGTTAAATATTCATAAAAGTACAGCGTAACTGCGATTCACTTTACATACCTTACAGGACTAAGGGAGTACAACCTAATACAATCTGATATACAGCTTTTGAGAACACAAATTCATCTCCATACCAGGTCGTGAGAAACGCTCCGTTTCGCTTTGGTTTTGAATGACAGGCTTGAGGACCACCGCCCGGAACGGCGCCTGTGCCGCCTGTCCCCAAGAGCCGGCCTCCGCTGGGAGAAAGCCGAGGCCGCAGGTGCGCCCCTGGAGGAAGGCCCTGGAGAGGAAAGTGTCTGATGGCATCGGCTGGCACAAAGGGTGGGCCTGCGTATACAAACACGATCCGCATAATAAACCAAATAATATTGGAAACCATACCTCAGTCGTACTTCTGTAAGAAGCAGAATTACACTGCATGTTGTTCACATGCATGGGAGGGCGCAGGGGAAACCCCTTGCTGTGCGAATGGCTGGCGTGGCGAGTGAAACGCGTACGGGAAACGGCAAGGTGCCTGGCAGAGAAATCATCTCTAAAAGGGCTGTGTCCAGAGCGGAGGCGTCCGCACGGCGCTGAAGGGAACCCACTCAGAGGATGCACCCGCACACGCACCCGCACACTCTGGTGGCAAATAAATACACTCACACACTGAAGCGACGGCTCCCTAAAGCTGCCTTGTGCTCAGGCCAGATTTCCCTGCCGGCTGCTGCGCCCAGTGCCGGCTGCAGAGAAAGGCCGGGATTGTCCCTGCGAGCGGGAGCTCGGGACACACTGCTCCTTCAGTGCTGAGCGCCTCACACGGGCTGCGGGTCCTGCCTGCACGGGCAGACAGACGGCGGCACCGGGGTCGGATGGCTGAGCAAATGCAGATCCCCCGGCCACTGCTGCCCAGTCTGCCTCCCTCACGCAGGCCGCCGGGGTGTGTGGGCGCTGCACTTTCTGACTCTGGCGGAAGAGAGCTCGACCTGGGGACTGTGGTCACCAGGAAGCTTCTCTTGACAACACGTGGGTGCAGAGCTTCTTCCGGGTCCCACCTGGGCTGTGTGCCACGCAGGTGCAAGCATGCTTGTCCATCTTCCCCAGGACTGGCAACAAACAAACCCTTCAGCCCATCCGTCTGTATGCCAGGCTACCACGTGGCCTAGAACGTTCCATTAAGTGCATGGCTCCTGGCAATCTCATTCCAAAACTCAACATAGCATGTTCAGCCTGAGTGCAGCTCACACATTGTGTTTCTGAATCAGGACACATGTATCTTGTAGTTCCGTAACCGGTTAAGGAACTGTGACCATGCTTGGTGGACAGTGTGGATAATAAAGTCATTGCAGTGGAAGGGGAGAAACAGAGCCTGCAGTCACCCCGAACTCAAAATGTAAAACCCGGCTGTTCTCCGATGACCTTAATTATACACAGGATGAGGGCTTGAGTTACCTAGATTTTTCCATGAAATGTTCAATTCCTTGAGGTTGCACATTCTGGCATTAAGAGCAAAAATTTCCCTTCAATTTTAAACTGCATTTCTTGGGAAAATATCTAACGAGGCAGAAAAGAGAGCTTGGGCTAGTCAAATGCAGAAAGTGGTTTGTTTTAAACGCATTAAACCTAAGTCAAGTCTACAAGGACAGAACGGGAGGAGGTCAGAGAGATGAAGGTGCTGCCAAAAACTGACTTATTTTTTTCCTCTTGGAAATAGTGATGTTAACGGGGTTTATCTCTGAAGAGACTGCAGGGCTGACTTTGGAGTAAAAGGGAAAGACGTGGAAGAGCCTCTATTCTCGAAAGAGCGGCCGTTCCCCGTCCTGACGAGGTTACCAGTCGCGACAAAATAGTGTTTTGAAAGGGAATGTGATGTGATCGCACCTGCGAACAGCCACCGCACTCCAGCCTGGGCAATGTAGCGAGACCCCATCTCTAGAAAAAAACAAAAAAGTGAATGTGACGTGTAAGTTCTGCCCAGGCCCGGGGCACGCCCCCTGGTGGGCTTCACCGGACCCCAGGCTCAGGCTCTCCGGGAGGCGGGGGTGGCAGGGCCGGGCTACCTTCCCGAGGCGCCCTCTCCACACCTGTGCGGTGCCAGCCCGCCTCGCCCCACCTCCAGGCCTCTCCCAGCAGGGCTGACTCCTTGGGGCAGTGGCTCCCGCCGGCCTGAGCGGAAGCAGCTCTGGGAGGGGCCGATCGCTGCTCAACAGACCACCACAAAGGAAATTCTGAAATGGTTGTAATCAACGTGTGCCCAGGGACGGAGAGGGTCCCAGGGTTTTCCACGCCATGACTGAGATGGGTCCTCGCGAGGACAGGCTTTTAAAATCCCGGCTACGGCGGCACCACCGGCTGGCCCAGCGCGAGCGCCGGAGCTCTCACGTCTTCCACGCGAACGCCTCGTCGGCGAGCACCTGCGCCAGCCGCGCGTTGAAGGGCCCGTAGAAGTCCTGCAGGATCTTCCGAGTGACCAGCCACATGGGCCCCAGGCTGCGGTCCTCGGGCCGCCGCGCGTTAGAGGCGGGGCTCTTGGTCATCAGGGCCTCCTGCTTGTCGCTCAAGGGCCCTGCAAGGAGAGGAGACTCTGTGAGGCAGGGGGCACGGCGGGCCGTAAAGGGGACTCTGTGACAGTCCCAACTACGCTTCGTGGGGAGACAGGAGTTTCCCTGAGGAAGAATGTGCCTGGCGGTTACATTTCTGTGGCCGGATGGTTCTGGAGCACTGCGGGAGGGCGGTGGAAGTACCACCAGGAAATAGCAAAGAAATTCTGTGGCCGGCGCGGGATGCCCAAGCCCGGGGAGCCCGGCTGGAATTCTGTGACGTGCAGCGCTCACCCGAGGCCCTCCTTGAGGATTCACTTCTCCCTGCCCTGCGTGGGCTGCTTCCCCCGGCCGTCAGCCTGCCCCCGGGTGACTGTGCCACCTGCCAGGCAGAGTCCACGGGCTTAGGATTTTGTGCTAATCAGCCCACTGGAAATTCTGCCCGGGCTTTTCTGCTCCAGGCAGCTGATGCAGAGGGCCCCATGCCTGGCCATACTGCACCCTGAGTGTCTTGCTGTGAAGTGGCCGTAAGGAGGCTGGTGGGGAGGAGGCCGCCTGTGCCCAGAGGTCCCACTGGCTGTAGCTCCCTCTGCAGCAAAAACACCCCTGAGGACAGACCCTGGAACAAGCCGGAAGGCGCTGCCACCGCCAACTCCAGCCCTCTGGACCACGGCCTCCCCAGCTCACCCCACCCAGTCGCTGCACAGGCCTCTTTACCCCGGGGCTCTTAGGACATGGCCAAAGACCTTAGCCCATAAGTAGGAAAAGCCTGTCCCAGTGCCCCTGGGTCATGTGAGATGCAGAACTGGCCTGTCATCTCAGGGGACAAATGGCAAGCTCAAAGGGATACAAAGTCAACAGGTGGCCCAAGCAGAGAGAAATGGGCCTCAGCCTCATAGGCCTTAGAAGGGGAAGAAACAGTCCCAGCGCATCACGTGACCAGCTCTCCAAGAAAGAGAAACAAGATCAAACGATTAAAGGGTTCCAGCCCCAGTGGTGGGCAGGTATACTTCAGGAAAGATTCAATTAACACAATTTCTAGGTGGGATCATTAGACAGGGCCCCAGCAGGTGCCCTGGGAAGGAACGCGGCTTATTCCGAGCCCACTCCAGCCCTTCCAGCAGTCCTGGGTGCCCGGTCACACGGCCAGCACTCCCTGCCTGAGCACACACCTCTGCCAGCCACTGCCATGGCCAGCACTGTGGCCTGTTGTCACCAAGCGCCTCTTGGGACTGTGGGGGCTGGAATACTGAGGCTGAGGGCAGGCACCCCCTCCCCAGAGGCCCAGCAGACAAAACCCGGCCAAATGGCTTTGACCCCAGGGATCCCCAACAACACCTGAGACGATGCAACAGTCTGTCTGTTCCCTGATCCAACCCTGTGTCCTGTTCAGCCACCCACCGACACCACGTCGGTCCTTCAAAGCTCGGCTCTCACACCCTTTCCTTCCACGGAGGCTTCCCTGGCCCCTTGTGCAGCTTGGGTCTCAAATCATCAGCATGTACCTTCCCCATGTCGTCCTACCTGTCACTTGGTCAAGTGAGCTGTGGCTTCCTCTTTTCCCTTCTCTGGACCGTAAGCTCTCAGAGGGGGACCACCTTCCTGTACACCCAGGGAGTCCTTCACTATACCATGCACAATGACCTGTGTGCAGCTGGTGCTCCATAATGGCACTGAACAGGCCTCCCTGCTCAGCCCGCCCCTCCCAGCAGAGCCATGTCCACGGAGCTCATGCTCTGCCCATCGGTCTGAGGATGACGTTCGTACCTAGGTTCAGAAACTGGAAGACCTTGTGCATGGTGTACTTGACGTTGGATGCGTGATCTTCCAGGCGCAGAATGAGAAACTGTTCCTTGTTGAAAACAGTGAGCCAGTCCAGGAGGTACACCGCGTACAGCCCGACCTGCAGCCGCACCTAGGACCACAGACAGGCGTTACTGGAGGAGTAATTCCAATGCCCATAGGCACCTCCCACAAGTGCTGTAGCGTCTTGTTATGAACCACCACAAGAACGTCACCCCAGCAAACAGCCACGTTTGGAAGCCAGATTTTAACACCACATGCTCCTGCTTCATAAGGGGCTCTGTGCTGCACATGCAAAGAATTCCCACGCCAGGGGTTGCACTTAATCCCACACCACCCTGCAGGCAGCTCCACGCCTTCACTTCACAGGTGAGGACTGAGGCACCAGGAGGAAGTCAGGGTTTTGCGCCACATCCTGCTAGCCCTCTGTTCCCGGGGCAGCCTCCACGCCCAGCACACATGGGCTGTGACAAAACAACTGCAGACGCCGCACAGGCAGGCTGTGAGTGGACAGCCAGATGCCTGGTCGTGTGAACACTGTGACCGAGAGGGCACGTGCACGTCCCAGTCTGATCACACCCACGAAGCCCACAGGCAGACGGCTGGACTCAAATCCTCCCTCCTCCCCAGCCATCTCCCGCACTCACCCCTCTGCTCCTATTCTCGTGCCACACCGCACTTGCGTGGGGGACGCTGACCTGCCCAGAGACAGGTCTGGCTTTGCCCTTGGCTCCTGGAGGTGATCTCCAGACCCAAGGTCTCCTGCCTGGCAGGATCTTGGTTTGCCAGGGGTTTGGCCAACACTGTGATTTATGACAGGGCTTTGGGCCACACTGGAGGGACTGCAGGCTCAAGGTCAGCCACCCGAGCAGTATGCGACTGAGCCCAGTAAAACCCTGGACACCAAAGGCGTGGGGTGGCAACGCCCCAGGGGCACTGTCACAGCTCCTGGCCAGGAGGCGCTGACAGCATCTACAACTCCACAGGCAGAGAATGACTCTCAGCTCTGCCTTGGGGTCCCCGGGACCCTGCGCTATGTGCTTCCTCCCCTGGCTGACTGTAACCTGCATCCTGCCCCTATAATAAATCGCCACGGCCTTTGGTTCCTTCTGGGAGCCCTAGAAAATCACTGAACCTGAGAGGGAGTTGGGGGGCCCGCGTTCTGAACTTGCAATTGGTGTCAGAAGTGACAGCATTCCTGGGGACTGTTCTAACCTTGCGGTTCACCCTAAACTCTTGGCAAAGCTCTGAGAAAAAGGGCCCCTTCCCCTTTTGCTGGGAGGCCCCCTTCTCCAGGCTTCTCCTCCTGCCCCTTCCCCAGGTGCTCAGGGACCCCACTCCCCGCCCATCTGTGGCCTGCCAGACTCCCTCACCCCCCACCGCTCCCCAGTTCACACCCCATCAACACCTGGCCAGTCTTCCCTCCTCTGGTTCGGCACTCCCATCCCATACCCCACCACCAGTATGAGCTTCCAAACCAGCGATGCCCCCACAGCCAGCCCCCATGGCTCTCTTCCCATAGAAAGTCCTCAGTCTGGTGCGAACTTCCAGCTCAGCCCCTCTCACTTCTTTAGGCAGACATCTCATGTCACACTTCCTTCTCTGCCCAGCCTGACCTTGAGCACCTCGAGGACAGGGACCCTGGCTTCTCCATCGTCCCATCCTGCACAAGGCCTTGCGCCTTGGCACTCAACATGCTTCTCAAGTGGCATTGCTAAACATGGTGACAGCAATAAGACAATGAAACATTTAACAAAATACACGCAGACACTAACCAGTTTCATCTCTCGCCATTCCTTTGCCATTGTTATTTTTCTAACACGTAGGAGGATGAGAAGGAGAAACAATTAGAGGGGAGAGCTGTCTGCAAAATACACGGCTGCCTCCGACCCGCACTTTGTTGCTACCTGACACACCAGCGCATAAAAGCCCTCAAGCTGGGCCGGAGCTAAGGAGAAGTGAGTCCGCGCCAGTCTCGGAAACGAGTGCGTGCCGCCCCAGCGCAGAGGAGCCATCGCAGGGATGTCTGTTGCTAGTCGCCCGCCTCACGGGGCTTTCCTTCCATCTCCGGGCGGCTCCCAGCCAGCTTCCCCTCCCAGGGAAGACCCGTCTGACAAGGTTTCTCTCTTCCAGAGAACCTGCCTTGGCAACTGGAGAACTTTCTAGAAGGAAAGTGTCTGTGGCAGGCTGGAGGTGTTTTAAAGCAGCTGTAGTCTGTCCCTGCACCTGGCCATGGTGACGGAATGACTCACTGACACCTTGCTCTGCCCATCCAGGTGACAGATGCAGGAGGACAGAGACCTGCCAGCGGAGTCTCACCCTGTACCAGGGTCTTCCTGGACAGGTGACAGGCGGGGCTGCTCTGGGAACGGGGCGAAGCCTCAGGGGCCGGAGCTGAGGAAGGCTTCCTAGGCGCTCAGTGGGCTCCCAAGGGGCTAGATCCCTGGCCCCCTGCACACTGCCCCTGACCTGCCCACCTCCCAGCCGCCTCACAAGTCGGGTGACAACTTCTGGTTTGTGCATTGCTGGCACAACCATGCACCACGAAGACAACCCCACTCCGAACCCTTTTGTCCTCACCTTTTCCCAGTACAGGACAGAGAATCAAAATAAAACAAAATTTTTTTAAAAAAAGCGTATCCAGGGCAAGTGCCCAAGACGTTTAACGCTGGGAAACATGAGCACTAAGAGAAGCCCCTGAGCGTGTCTGGGCCAGCTGACTCCCTGACAGAAGAAGGGAGGCCGGGAGCGGCGGGGCCTGCCCAGGGTCGGCGCCTCACACCTGCAGCTGTGTCCCTTTTGCACGTGGGGCTCCCTCCCCACGCAGGGCGCCCGGGCAAGAGCGAGCCCCGCAGGAGAGCTGAGCTGGGCACAGTCCCAGCCCTGGCCGAGCCTCTCTGTCCCCGGCTAGGGATTTCACTGGGACTCGCCCCTAACCTGAGCCTAAGCCGTGTGCCGGGACCCCGCTAGGCGGTGGTGACATGCTGCCAGCAGACGTGCCCTGGCCTCGGGGAGCTTGCAGTCTAGCGGCAGAGACAGCTCAACAGGCAAAGAAACAAACATCTGAGATCACCAACTCTGATACACGCCATGGGGAAAACCAGCAAGTGGCCACAACAGAAGGTCAGCGTAGAGCAGGACCGGAAGGAAGGGAAGGCCCAGCAACCAGAAGCAGGTCCCCAGGAGAGGAGGAGGAGGAGGAGGAGGATCAGGAGAAGGCGCCCTGGCGGTTCTCCGGCGGCAACACCCGGAGGGCCTGTCCGATAGAGGGTGGGCCCTGCCTCGTGATTCTGATTCAGGTGGTCTGGGGAGGGCTTCAGCATGTGCAGTTCTGACAAGTTCCCTGGGGCTGCGGCTGCTGCTGGTCCAGGGACCAGGACTTGCAGGTCCCTGCCTCGAGGACGCTCCAGGGAGAGGTGGTGGGGCAGGGCAGTGATGGAGCCAGGTGGGGGTCGACAGGCACACCTGCATTCGGGCACAAGCAGGCAGCAGGTGCCTTCAGCAGGGTGTGCCAGGGCCCAGTGGGTCTCACAAAGCTGCCCTCCCGGTGCTGTGGCCAGAGGGAAATCAGCTTCTCCTCCCAGAAATGAAAATTCACCTCTGAGAGGAGAGTTTCTGATGGCTTCCTACCTGCTCTTCCTCTCCAGGGACCAGAGATGGAAAGACGATTAAGGGACGATCTGAGTTTTAAGGGCCATGAGATCTGGGATTGAACCTGAGCCTGCCTGTTACGAGTTATGGGTAGGAGAGTTGCCCTCGGTGAGCCTTGGTGTCCCCATCTGTGAAACGGGGATGGATTTCAGAGGGTCTGTGGGGACTGAAGGAGACGGTGCACTGGAAGGGCTCGGGACAGTGCCTGGCAGTAGTGAGCAAAGGCCAGGTCCCTGCCCCGTCCTGCTGCTGGTCCAGGAGCAGGATCTGCAGGTCCCTGCCCCGTCCTGCTGCTGGTCCGGGAGCAGGATCTGCAGGTGCCTGCCCCTTCCTGCTGCTGGTCCAGGAGCAGGATCTGCAGGTGCCTGCCCCTTCCTGCTGCTGGTTCGGGAGCAGGATCTGCAGGTGCCTGCCCCTTCCTGCTGCTGGTCCAGGAGCAGGATCTGCAGGTGCCTGCCCCGAGGCCCCACCCGGACGAGTGTGCTGCAGCGTGGAGACGGGCTGGGACAGGGAGAAGAGGCTAAAGTTTTTCAACTGGAAGCAGAAGCTTTAAAAACCTTTTTGTCAGGAAGTTTCCAGCATACACAGGTGGTGAGAGTCATGACGGCACCCGTGAACTTATCACTCAGCCTGGGAGTTTTTCAGTTTCCGGGTTGGGGGGTTACGCGGAGGCGGGGGGGGGGGGGCCCCTTTTTTTCCTTTTGGAGGAGCATCGGCAAGGCCGAATCAAGGGCAGGACCGGGGCTCTGGCTGATTACACAAGAGCGTCGATGCCAGCCAAAGAAGCCACCTCGGGGCGTGAATCCCCGCCTGTGCTGCTGTCACCCTCAGTGCTGCTCTCAGGTGGCTCTGTGGCCACCATCACAGGAGACACAGCGGCCTGGGGAAAGTGCATTTTTGTGTGGCTTGGCCGACACAGCCCGACTGCCCGGAGCCTGAGCCCGGAGTGGGAGCAAGTCAGGCGGGGCCTGAGGAACCGTCAGGGCAGCCCACCTGCTGCAAGGGGGCTCCCTGAAGGTGGCAGCAGGTCTGGGCTGGCCCAGGGTTAAGAGGAGGAGAGAGCCCCAGGGTTGTGGTTTCTTCCAGCACTGAACACGATGCTGCGCACAGAGTGGGCACCAGTGTGTGCTGAAGGGCACAATCACGTCTCAACCGGGACTCGGGCTCCCCCCACCACCGAAGGCCCCGTGAGGACGGCCCTCCCCAGCACAAACCGCCACGAGGAGCCAGGCAGGAGCGAGGGCCAGAAGGGCCGCACGCCGCTCGAGGGGCGCGAGCCGGAACACGTGCACGTCCGGATTTCCCCTTTCACCCCCACCCCCCCCCCGTCTGTCCACAAGTCCCTTCCTGTCTTCCTCTCACTGTTTCCAGAAAGTTCCAACGCTTTCCTACCCTCTGCTAGTACCCTGACTCAGCCACCAGTCTCTTACCACACCTTGCACCCCACCACTGTCCTGTCTCTGGGAGACAGCCCCTCTAGACAGTCCCACCCCCTCGGTTGGCTGCCCCAGGCATCTTTCTAAAGTGCAGACCTGCCACAGCCATCGGTGGGGTTCCGGCCCCGCTGCCCCCAAATATGGCACCGTGGCATCTGAGAAAATGGCAGAACCAGGAAGTGCTCACCTCCATCTTCCCCGAGGCAGGACACAAAACCCTCATTTGGGAGGCGCCCTCCCCACGCCAGAGGAAAGGAACAGCCTCACTGCTGAAGACGCAGGGACACAGGGAAGAGTCTGGGCGGCCCAGCTCCGGCTCCGTTTATTGGCAGTAGAGGACAACCACACCTCTCTGCACGGCCGTCCTCTTCCTCAAAACTAAGCACAGAAATGCACAGGGTTCCCTGTTTCTTCAAGTGTTTGCTTCCTCATGAAGGCTCCGTGCCATGTAAAACTTTAATAAATTTTATGCCTTTCTCTTGTTAATCTTTTATTACAGGTGCCTCAGCCATGAACCCAGCAGACTTCTCCCATCCAAGTACTAACCAGCCCTGACCCCGCTTAGCTTCCGAGATCAGACGAGATCGGGTGCATTCAGGGTGGCGTGGCCGTAGACGGGAAAGAGATTTCTTTTCAACATCTACATTACCCTCTGCCTAGACCCTCCCCATTTCTCTCATGACGAGGTCTAGACTCGCCCCGAGGCTCACCGCGTCCCGGGGCCGCAGCCCCACTCGCCGGGCACCCGAGCCCTCCGTCACGCCCCGTCTCCCGCACACAGGCTCTCGGGCCTGCGTGGCAGGTGGCCCCTGTGCTGGCCGCTCAGCCTCTGCACGCGTTGCTCTCGTTCCCTGGTCGCCTCATCTTCGAGGACTCAGCACAGGCCTTCACCCTCCTGACGCCCTGTTCTCGGGCGTCCCCTGCCCCCTGCCCAGCCTCATCCACTCTCCCTGCTGGCTGTGCAGGACGGCAGGGACCGTGTTCATCCTGGCACCGCTGTGGCCCCAGGAGCCAGCGCCACGCACAGAACACAGTGGGACAGATGAACACAGGGATGTGCGACAGAACCGTCCATCTCTAATCCTCATAACAGCCCGGCAGAGCAGAGCCATTCCCCCAATTTATGACAAAGCAACTTGTCTCAGAGAGGCCAAGACAACTGCCCAGAGTCACACAGCCAGTGAACGCCCCAGCTGGGGACCGTACCCACCCTGCTGTCGGGATCTGGACCCTGCTCCTACCCAGGACCACAGCCGGGTTCTGTGGTTATCGCTGTCCCTGCCACACCTTCCCTGGAGAACCACAGAGTCCAGCAGCACAGCCTGGAGCCCCACCTGCTGCTGCCTCTGCACACTGCCTTCCAGATACCACGGCACTGGTGACAATAAAGGGGGAGCAAAGCTCCAGATCTGGGCCCCGCCGCCCATGGGGGCTCCAGGACTGCGCAGCAGGTCTGCTCGTGCGTTGGGCAGAGCCAGGCTCGTAAAGGCAACAGCAGCAGCTTGGCTGCGGAAGGAAGAGGCGTCCAGCTGTACAAGCCCTGAGACGAAGCCCTTATGACAACCTGACAACCCTGTGACAAAGCCCTACAACAATCCGACAACTAGACAACCCACCCCAGGGAGCCCAGCCTGGAAAACCAGCCCCCAACTAAAAGGTGCTGAATTCACCATTAATATTTGCATTTAAAAAGGCTAGGAATGTACAGATATAGTCCTAAAGGGAACACAAACAATAGTGGGAACAACAGACAATATTTTTTAATTGAGATCCTATCAAAGAAGCCTTCAAAGTCATTGGTGAGTAATTTTTTAAACCAACAAAACAATCCACCACCGCTAGAGAGGATGCTCTTAAGACAATTTGAGAGCTGGGTGTCCTCATGTCTGCCGATACTAATTGCTGGGTGTGTTTTTAGAGCCTCACTAAATGGTACTCTTCCTAAATGCACCCTCATTCTCCCGCTGAGGGAGGAGACAGGAGGTGGGGGTGACCAGCAGGGAGGAAGGCAGGGAGCCAGCCAAAGAGCCATTGGTTTCAGTTTTTACACTTGTGAATAATGGGGAACAGCATTTGCACATTAAATCGCTTCTGTGCTAAGCCCCAACCCACAATGCCACTTGCATGATAAAACACTGGGCGGTACGCACGGGCATGGCGTTGTTGAGCGTGTTGTTGTAGACGCAGGCACGCAGGGAATAATCGAGCATGCAATTTTCAAACAGCTGCAGCGCTTCTGTCACTTTCTCGTGGAAGTCATCTGCAGATTTATTCGAACTTGCAAAGTAGAGATAGTCTGAGTACAACCTGTGAATAAAACAAATGGGTATTTTTACCACCCATGAACGTGCGATCGCACCATTTGGATGACAATGAAAATCAATGCACAATGACATTATCTCGTTTTGCTCATTAAAGCACTATTTCTCCCCCTTCCCTTGCAGTTGGGCCATCTCCCTGCCTCCCCCGCAGCCCCACCCTCCACGCAGCCTTCCACGCTCTCCGGCCGGCCGGACGTGTCTGCACCGGCCCCGAACGAACGACCGGCAGTTTTTATGGGGCTGCTCTTTCTGGTCCTCTCAGGCGCTGGCTCTGTTTTCTCAATAACAGTGAGCTTCAAAACAACACCAGATCACAAAAAACTGTACAGTGGCAAAGGGAGGCCATGAAAATTTTATGCTCCTTCCTGTTCCTCTCTCCTCCATTGGAGGGAACAAAAACAAGAGCATCTGTTGCTCTCGCAGTCTTACAATTCCACATGAAAGCCCTGGCCCTTCTCACAGACGTTCCTGAGGCTTTAAAAAAATTACGAAATGTGTCTTTCTAGACTGGGAGGGCCCTATATTTTAACACAAGGTAGAAGCATCCCCCCATATGCACGTGAACACCTGCAGCCTTACGTGTTTCCCTGCAGGCACGCATCTGTTCGTATACACACCACCACACGGATGTAAGAATGTCATGCACGGACCGCCGGTCTTCCTTAACAAGACTCCAGGCTCCCCTGAATCCTCTTCCCAACTAGGCCTTGACTTGTGGACTTCTGTGTCCACCTCTGCATCCCCCCACTTTAGCAAGAACCCTGCTGGTGAGTGAGATTTATGGGAGGCCACTGTTTCAGGCTGAGCCCCTACACCAGGCCGGGACAGACCAGACCAAACCAAACCAGAATGACTCACTCGTGGCCAGTTTCCAAAACACAGGAGATTTACAGCAACCAGTCACCAGGGGCCAGTCAACCTGAGCCGGCATGCTAAAGATGTCCCCTCGGCCTCAACCCCATTAGGAAAGTCCCTGGGAAGTGACCAATCCCCTCTTTGTCCCGTTTCTGCTGCGTCAGCCCTTTCCTGCTTACACAGCCCACCTTCTCCGCTCGGCCAACACGAACACCTTCCTACAGCGAGCATGGATGCTGCCCATTCGTGAATTGTGCTAGGAAAAAGCTAATCAGGTCTTTGAACTACATTTGTTAAAACCTGCACTGCTAAGTTGGGTTAGCCAGAATCCTCTCCCACCCACTTACCCTTGAGGTTCCCCTTAGTAATCTTCCATCCACCGGCCCCTCGCCCCACTCCTCGGCTACAAAGTCCTCACGTTTCCCTTATTGCGTTTGGAGTTGAGCCCAATCTCTCTCCTGTACCCCACACGCCATCACAGCAGTCCCTGCACCTACAGTAATAGTCTCAGATAAAGTCTGTGTTGCCGTTTTAACCAATGTCAGAATAGATTTTTCTTTAACAGAACTTCCAATTTGTGAGTCTCCTACTCTACCTTCTCCCCTGTTTTGGCTTACAGAGAGTGTATTTCCTTCTTTTGGTTTTCAAAAAAGACCCTCTGTGCATTTAGACATTTCTTCCTACTCTCTGTTCTTGCACACACACCTGCTTGTGACCCCGCAGCTGTGCTCAGCGCCCCCCACACTCACAGCCCCCAGCTGCACCTCCTGCCGGGGCTGAAACTGGGCTCATGGAAATCACAGCCCCCGCGGCCCCCTGGAGTCAGACTTCTCTCTTCTCTCAGCTCCGCGCCTCCTGTCCCCTCACCTCCAACCTGGCTCCCCTCTTTCCAGTGACTCTATGTACCCATATGGGGGGAGGGGCTTTAACATCTGTAAGATCTGCCAGTCGCACCTAGTGCTTCTGTCCCCAAGACTCAGCCACACGCTGTCCTGCAGAAACTGCACCCTCATTGCACGGGGCTGCCAACGCTCCTTTTCCGCTGCCCTCTCCTCTAATCACAGTCATGATACCGAGCGTCCCCTCTTAGGGACAGGCCAGATCTTATCCATCCCTGTATGCCCCCTTCCCTTGGCACGTGTGATGCCTTTACCAGGTCCCTTCAGAGTTTATCCACGGCCAGTGTCCACAGAGGACGCCTCCTCCAAGTCTTGAGCCATTCGGGATCTGCCCACAGATTGCCTGGAACCCAAACACACGCCAGAACAGGACTGTTCTGTCTACCTCAGCCTGGTCGGCCACTGTCCAAAAGGACTGGCCTCAAGACTAGTCGCCAAAGATGCTCGGTGGCTGGAGGGTGGGCTCCCCCAGACCCACACTCCTCTGAGCACACTCCCCAGGACCACCGCACGCTCCCCCCGACTGGTGCCCCCAACACCACCTGTGTTATTTTCCATCTTCAGAACTGGAAGATGCATCAAGACTGAAACACGGTGCCCGTCACTGCCGGGTCAGTCATGGTTAGAATAACATGAATGGCTGATCAATAAATGCCCAAGTCAGACCTGCAGGAACCGTCAAGAGCAGCTTGGCCGTGCGCACTGAGGGGTTCCACGCGGCACCTCGATGGGGCATCCCATCAGTCCTATCGGTACGAAGGCTCAGCCCAAGAAACGACATCAATGAGAAGGAACAGGTGCTTATGAAACTGTCATCAAATCCTATACTTAATAAGTCCGAGCCCTGAGTTCTTTCCAAGATGCACGCAGAACTCTCCAAATTGCTTGGCGGAACCGGAATTCCATCACATAAATTATCTTATAAAAATGCAATCATTGGCTCAAGGTTTTCATACTGAGATATTTGAGATTTTTTTCTTTATGGTAGCAATATTTCTAATAAATATCTGAATTATAAATAAAGCAAAAGCACCTAAGCCTGCCTCAATTTTAAACACAAAGTCACTTCATGAAGAATCTGCTGATTCTACACAATTCTGTATATACATAAAGGAGTAATCCCTGGAGGAAAACTGGGACATGCCCAGTGTACCAACCAGGCGAGCTCACGCCTACCAGGTGAGACTCCTGACTTCCGTCTGTCTGGGGTGCGCTGAAATGAACTCACACCCCCACTTCCCTCGAGCACGTTCATAGCTTTTCAGAGCTGGGCCAGGTCCCTTCCTCGGCAGGATGGGAAGAGACATCTTTGGCCCCTCGGTCACCTCCAAGTATCCTGGATCTGGCCACAGCATAGGTGAGCCCTGGGATTCCCAGGAGCCCCACTGCCAGGATCGTGCAGGGAAGTCCTTTGTGCCGTGGCCTGTCACAAACCTGAACAGGAGCTGAGTTGCCAAAACAAATGGCCACCACCTCCCCCGTGGATGCCGTAGTTGGCTGAATAGCGGCCACCAAAAAGATATGTCTGAGGCTTACTCTCTGGTTCCTGTGAATGTGACATTATCTGGAAATAGCACCTTTGCAGATATAATTAAATCCAGGATCTGGAGATAAGATCATCCTGATTTAGGGTGGGTCCTAAATCCAGTGGCTGGTGGCCTCATTAAAACAGGAGAGGACACACGAGGAGAACATATGCAGACAGAGCCGGAGATTGGAGTGATGCATCCGCCACCCAAGGAACACCGGGGACTGCTGCAAGCCGCTGGCAGCTGGGAGAGAGGCCTGGGACAGATTCGCCCTCCGGGCCACCAGAGGGAACCAACCCCGCACACATCTTGATTTCAGATTTCTGCCCTCCGGAATAAATTTGCTTTAGCAACAAAGTTTGTAGTAATTTATAACAACAGCCCTAGGAACCAACACAGATTCTAAACCCCAATTCCAAGGAAGACTAAGGAGTTACTTTTGTTGACAATCTCTGGGACCCCAGAAGGGTGGCCCGAGTGTGCAGGGCTGCGGCCGTGTGGCCAGGTTTCCCGCAAACACACAACAGCAGCTCTCACATTCTGGCAAGTTCTGTCTGGGCAGGAGTATCAGGCTAACGCCTCCTAAGAACGTGTTCAATAAACAACGCTGTGCCTTCCCCCACGGCTACTCTCCGGGAACAAAGTAAGTTAATGACCTTGCATGAGTGAAAGCCACTTGGATGGGTTAAAGCCACTCAGAAGACGTTGAGAAGGACACCAGCAAATGCATCAAGAATAAGTCCTCAAAAAGCTGGTGCGGGCACACAGGTAACAGCTGAAATGTACAGAGACAAACCTCAATGCCCACCTTTTGGCGTGTCAGATCAACTGTGCAATGACGAAGTCGGGGAAAAGACCAACGTGCAGAACACAAGAGCTCATGATGAATCATCACAGAACTGCGGGGACGCTCGTGCCACCTCAGGACGCATTAACAGAGGCACGGCATCAAGAACACAGGAGGGTAGAGCACAGCGACAGGCGGCTCAGGGCCTGCAAGGACGCTTGCCTTCAGCGCTGGGAGCCAGGTGGTGAAGGGAAAGGAGCTGCTCCCCCTGGAGAGGCACAGACCCAGCGGGAAGACCTGTCCCACCCCCCGCAGGACAGACCAGTGGGCGACGGTTCAGGAAGAAAGCCTGGTTCCACACAGGGAGAAATTCCTCCAGTCAGGGCAGTGCAGTGGCTGGCGGGGCTGCAGGAGCAGCCTGGGCTGGAGAGGAGGAGGGCTCCGGGGTAGCACCGGGTTGGGGACTCCGCCATCCCTGAGTTTCAGGGCTGCCCAGGCCGCTCCTGCTGAACCTCATTTTCTTACTCTCAAACCACCCTGAACAGATGGGTGTTACATTTGGCCAGGACCGTTTCCAACGGCAATTCCAAATATAAGTCCAGATCCGTTCCAGGCCGTCTGTGCTGCGGTTATTTTGGGGGCTGCTGGCGTGGCCTGTGGGGTGCTGCTTGGCCCCTCTCCTGTGCACGCAGGGTCTGGACCCCCCGAGGGGCAGTGGGACGGGATGTGTGTGTGTCCAGGGGAGGGGACTCCCTCAACCTGGCACCTCTGAAAGTGATCAGGTCTCTCCCCACAGGGACAAAGCGGTGGCCAGCAGTGAGCAAATCCGGTTTCCCCATGACCCCTGCTGAATGCACTCAATGACATTTGCAGGGTGCTGCTCTGAGCCGGCGTGAGCAGACGTTGGCGTGCCGGT